AGGAACTTTATTGTCAAGAGATGAAGAAGGCATCCTATTGATCAAAAAACAAGAAGTGAGGATTGCATCCCCCAATGATGAACAGGAACATTAGTATTTAACATCAGGGAACGTGCTGTTTCAATGTGATGTCTATTCTTTCTCTCAGCTATGCCATTTTGTTGTGGAGTGTGAGGACATGTTGACTGATGTAAAATTCCTTTGGAAGATAAAAATGAAGAAAATGCAGCAGAAAAATATTCCTTAGCATTATCACTTCTGAGAATTTTAATTGTCTTTCCAAATTGATTCTTAATTTCATTAACAAAGGACATAAAAATGACTAAAAGTTCAGATCTATCTTTCATAAGATAAACCCACGTACACCGAGAAAATTCATCAATGAAGGTTACAAAATAGTTAAAACCAAAGGAAGTAACTCGACTCGGTCCCCAAATATTAGAGTGAATGGTAGAAAAAATAGACTTACATCATGTCTCAGATTTCTTTGGATAAGAAGATCTAACATGTTTTCCTAACTGACAAGACTCACAATCTAAGACAGGAATGTGTTTAAGACTTGGAACCATCAACCTCAGCTTAGACAAATTTGGGTGACCCAAACGATCATGTAAAATTTTAGGAGATGAAGTTGAAATGCAAGAAACAAAAGAGGTAGGTTTTAGGAAATACAGTCCTCATGACTCATATCCTTCTCCAATTCGAAGACCCGTACCATGTTCCTGTATGACAAAGGAAGTAGCAGTAAAGGTTATAGAACAATTTAATCAACGTGTCAATTGAGTCAAGGAGATTAAATTATAAGGACAATGAGGAATATACAAAACAAAATTTAAGTTTAGTGAAGGAGATAAGGACACTTTGCCAATTCCTTGAGATGTCAATTTGGATCCATTGGCAATAGTAACTAAGTGAGGAACTTTTTGAGAGGTAATGGAGGAAAACAAACGAGTGTTACCAGACAAATGGTTTGAGGCACCTGAATCAAGAATCCATGAACCTTGACATTCCACAGATTGTGAGATACATGCAATTGACACACTTGGCACTGAAGGAAACTGAAAAAGGCCAGTGGATTTGTCAGACTTGTATCTCAAAAATTCTTGATACTCTTCATTTGAGATTCTTGATTCGTATGAGCGTTGCACATACCCACTTCGACTACCATGGCCTCCTCGATTAGCTAATCTCATTGAAGTGGCAGATAAGGAGAAATTAATTTTAGTAAAGGATGCCATTCTAAATCTATGAGTAGGATCCAAAACAGAGACAAGGTCTTATGACTATGGGAAATCAGAATCCCTATCCAAATCATACTAAGAAATGAAGCTCATCAACAGTAGACTGTGAAATTTGAGGAAGAAAATCCTAGGTGCAAACAACAGCCACCAAAACAGCGAAGCAAGGGCCAAAACACGCTTAGGAAGCTACGATGAAACTGTCTGTAGTGGCGCGGTGTCGATCTCACACCGAGACGGCGGCGCGTGTTCCTCACGCGCCAAAGACTTGCTGAAGACAGGCGGCGCGTGAAGAGGAGTCTGGTCTTGACTCCGACGAGGTTGGCCGTCGCTCGAGGAGACGGTCCAGATCCGCTAGTCACCGGTCGAAACCGTGACGGTGGCCGGCGTAGATCGGAGAGAAGCGGCGCATAGAGGAGCGTGTGGAGGTTTCTGAGGAAGCGACCACCAGGGTTGGGTCACGCTTCTCGGGGTGAACCTAACCCTTAACTTTGCCTGACATCGGCGGACGGCAGCGGCGGCAACGACGGCGATAGCAGCGACAGCGGCGAAAAGTGGTGGCGACAGCAGTGGCACACTGGGTCTGGCTCTTGATACCAAGTTAAAGAACTAACTGAGACATTTTATTCATTCATATGCTTATAAGGTTATGGTATTCTATATATATATATATATATATATATATATATATATAGAATACCAACAACCCACTTCTTAAGTTGGGTACACACTCACAAAACAACATAAACTTAATACATTTCAACAAAAACAATGGCAAAAGAAAAGTTGAACATCATGAGGGGCAATACAGTGGGAGGAAGCAAGGGGAATTACCCGTCTTTGAGGGACTCGACCCATTGAATTGGATCAGTCGCTCTGAGAAGTTCTTCGAACTACAAGGGGTGACAGAGGAAGAAAAGGTGCGTCTGACGCACATTAGTATGGAGGGAAGTGCAAGGTATTGGTTCAGATTATGGAGGGAGGTTATGCTCCCAACCATTCTTTGTAAAGAGATTTCTATCGCTGTCAATAATAGAACCCATTATTTTTTTACTGTTTGTACCTACTGTTAGTGTTCATAGTTAGGTTTCCAACCTAGGTACCTAACAGTTTCAGATACAAATTTTGCCCACTCCTGGATATTAGATTCAGGAGCCACAGAGTGGCTTCAAAGTCAGATTGCAACTTCATCAAGAATTGATCTCTCTTGTGTTAGAATCTCGAAATAATCGCATTTGGACAAAACTAAGAGAGGGTGAATTGGTTTGTTTATAAAACTATGCTTTTTAAAAATTTCCCCCTTTTAAAATCCGACCTAAAAATAAAAATGATTTCTTTAAGATAATAGCAGATAAATAAGGAGGGTAGGGAAAGAAAAAATTGTATAAGTAATTTTAACTAGTTTTGATCAAAAGACCCTACGTCCAATTTTTAATTTTTTTTAAAATGGATTAACTCAAACACTAAAAATAAACTAAGATTGCAAATAGGAGTAAGAACCGTTTAGGATAGAAAGCATCTCTCTTTAAACCACAAGAGATGAAAGACACTTCCCTTGAAATCCACAAGGGATGAATGCCTCCTTTGAGTCCCACAAGGAATAAAGACACATTTCTTGAGTCACACAAGAGATGAAGAAACACCTTCCTTGAATTCACAAGGAATGAACACCTCCTTTGAATCACATAAAGATGAACAACTTCCCCTAGCAACAGCAACAACACTTAATCCACACTAGGTTTTTCAAAGCCTTTCCACAAAGAGTTCTCAAGTACTCACACTTCTCTAACTTCTATGTTTTCAAATGAAAGCCTACCACTTTATTTATAGAAGTCCTTTTTGAAATTAAGTTAAGAAACTAAAGAGTCAAGTTACAATTCCCGCTGATAATAGAAGTGATAATCTATTATCATAGAAACTTTTGTGAAAACATTGTTTTTTGCTATGATAATCTATTACCAGCAGTGATAATCAATTATAATAGAGATTCTTCTAAAAATTTTGATTTTAACATAATTTCTTGGATAAATAAAATATTTTCTTGGGTGATCTTTGTGCATGTTGCTTTATGACACTCTAAGCAAAGTCCTATACACAATTTATTCGCTAATATGTCTTATTACAAAGACTTAATCATATAAATAAATAAACTACAAGTCTTCCAATATCTTTTGTTGTCACTTTAAGATCTTGGACTTGCTTTTATCATCATCAAAATTTACTCTTGAAGAATGATCTCCATCACCTTCTTTTGCCAACTTCTTGCTAGTCTTGTGCACTGTTTGGACAGCAGAGAGGACTGCACCAAAAATACCAGCTTAATAATATTGGAATATTCAGCCCAAGGATTTTGAAAACCAGAAAAATATTTCTCAATTGATAGACTTCCTTGTGTGAAATTTTAACCATCTCATACTCCAATTGAAACCTCCAAGCAGCATTGTCTTGATGATAAATCTTTTTCAAATAATCCCACATGTCTTTAGCAGTGTTATAAGGCCGTGCAAATTAAAAATGAAATGAGGCTTAATAGAGCTAAGTATCCAAGTCATGATTTGGGCATCTTTGGTTTCCCATTTTTCCAAATCTGCTGGACTTGTAGGTGCTGGAATTTTGCCATCAGTATGACCTCATAAATCTTTGCCTTTGACAAATAGTTTAAATTGAAATTCCCAAGCAGAATAATTTTTTCCATTAAACCGAACTAGATAGGATTAAGATTTATCATAAGATATGATGAAGAAAAAAAACCTCCAATTAGGGCTTGACATGTTTTTTTAATTTTGTACTTGTTCAGCATTTGAATTGTTTCATGTTTGATATTTGAGTAATTGTTGTTTTTAAACTGTTCTTTGGTTTATGTGAACTGGTTGGTTGAGTCACTCTTTGACTAACCTGTGTTGCATTATCACTGTTGTTGGCTAGGGTGCTTTCTTGATTTATTGGGTTTTCATTATATGTTTTCTGATCACGTGATGTTAGGTACTAGAACCAAGCCTTGCAAAGGGTAACAGGGTGATGGTTTTCTGCAATACATTGGATTCTAGTCGTGCTGTGGATCATTTTCTTGGTGAAAATCAGATTTCTACTGTAAACTACCATGGTGAGGTACCAGCAGAGCAAAGGTAATGTGCTATGTTGAAATTCTTCTCTACTTCTTCCTCTTTATTTTGTTATGGCACAGAATTAAGCTGATCATGAATAGGCACACTGTAACTGTTGAATTTGACTCTAAGCTTTAAAATGAGGAGATATGTAAATTGAAAGGGTATATTCAATGTTGATTTGAACTGGGCAAGTTTTGAAGGTAGGTAATTTATTTCAAATTAGGGGCATCTTACTTTAAAGAAATTCAACCCATGGAAAAGAGGTAATAGAAAGTGAAAAATGTCAAATATATTTTAGCAATGAGGCTTACAATAAATATGATACGATACACTGACTTCACGCCTGTTTTTATTCTAAAACTTTCAATGATCAGAAGACAACAATACCCTCTGCTTTGGGGACTCCGAATAACTGCTAAATTAACCAAGAAAATTTTACTCATTGTATAACAATAAATACTATACATGATTCTTGCAAAACTTGTGATGGGTTTCAAATACAATGACATAAATTAAAATGTCATTAGAGAAGATGGGCACTGCTTATTAGACAACTCATTGACCTGATACTACTGGGCAGCTAGAGTGATTAATGACCAAAGAAAATAGAGAAAGAATGGGCCAAACAATAAATGAAATTTGTGTACGATAAAATTGCATATGGTAGCTTTTGAGCCTATGATTCCATTTGAACCAGTGCTTCTCTGATGCTCTGTTTCCTGTCATGCCCACTTATTTATGTTGTTTTTCTCTTGAATTCAGGGTTGAAAATCTCAGAAAGTTTAAGAGTGATGGTGATGATTGTCCTACGTTGGTTTGCTCAGACCTGGCTGCTAGGGGTCTAGACTTGGATGTAGATCAAGTTGTGATGTTTGACTTCCCCTTGAATTCTGTGAGCATCACATCTATTAATTTATTTAGTGGCCTATTGGGTCAGAGTACCTTCTTTCTGCCTTCCCCTTTTGATATTCTTTTTCCTTTCTATTTTAGATTGACTACCTTCATCGCACAGGTAGAACTGCTCGTATGGGTGCAAAAGGTAACAAATTCTTATATAATTTAATTTAATCAGTTTATCTCAATCGATAATCCTGATCTTTATTTTACAAGCAGTGTTTTTGCCTTAGTATTTGTAAATTGGAAGCTGCAGACAATGTTCTTGGTCACCAAATCTTATAGTTGAAATTGCTTATAAACTAGAAGATAAAATTGATTACTATCTATTTGATTTTAAAAACCTGCATGGAGCATTTCTAACTGGGGTAAAAAATTGGTCATTATATACCGAAGCAAAGAAAGGAAGAAAATATTCTTGGTGTGTATCATATCGGGTTTCTTCTATTTCGTACATTAGACATTGCATTATGAGTGTTACAAATATGTTGCTGTAGTTGGAAGATCTAAAATGCTCTTTTCTTATGCAGGGAAGGTAACAAGTTTAGTTGCTAAAAAGGACTTGGACTTGGCCAGCAAAATAGAGGAAGCAATAAGGAACAATGAGAGTTTGGAGGCTATCACAAAAGAAAGTGTTCGAAGGGACACTGCAAGGACCCAAATCACAGAGCAGAAAGGAAAGGGTAGAAAAATGGTTCAAGTTTCAAAAGTCAAGGGCAAATTTGGTAGTCGTTCCAGTTCTGGAAATAATGGATCAGGTATAAAATCTGGCAAAGCTTCACCTGTCAAATCTATGAAAAAAGGGATTAACGTTTCAAAATCTGGGAATTCTTCTAGGGCAAGTAGCACCATTAGAAAAGGTTCTTCAGATAAGAGGCAAACAGGTAAAGTGGTCAGTACCACCAAATCTACGAATTCTAAACTCAATGTGGTTGGTTTTCGGGGAAAAAAATCATCTTCAAATAACAATGGTTCGGTTTTGTGAAGTGAATTCTGCGTCATATTTGTATCTTCTAGGGAGTAAATGCCTCTCAATTTTGTGTACTAGATAAGAATTTTTCTGTTAGATAAGAATTCTGTAGTAAAATTATTATAATATTATAATAATTTAATATTTTTTTCTTTTTCTGGTAGCTATTATTATACATGATTAATTTAATGGATAAACATTTTAGTCGATAAGATTTTAATTCCTGCCTTTACGTCCCCAAAAAAATCTATCAGTTTCTGTTTTCAATGTATGTCAAACAAGTCATGAATATTGTATGCAGGATCATAATATAATATATAATATATAAAAAACATTTCAGAAACTGAAAAGTAAATATAATGTTTGCTGGAAAAGGGGAAGGATTTAGGCCCTAATCGATTTTTTCAATTCAATTTTTGTAAAAAATAAGTAGTTAACTTGATTTAAAATTTTAAATATGAAAACAATATTATTTATTTATAATAAAGTATTTATTTTTTTCTACATTTTATTATTGAGAATATTATATATATATATATATATATATATATATATATGCATGTCATGCAAATTTTTATTAGAATAAAATTTAAATTTGTAAATAATATTATTTATCTTTAAGAAAATAATATAATTTTTTTTATAAATTTTTATTATGGAGATAATGATGTTGCTATCACTTCTAACTCATCCTTCTCCTATTCCACCTCATCTTCTAACTCGGATAGCTATTGTGTCGTATTTTTGTGTAATTATCAACTCATACTCTTCCTCTTCTCAAGAGGTTGCAAATGAGTCTATAAGATCAAATGGGATAACAATCATCAAGTGGAATGATATTGTGATATATTGGTAGTAAAGGGATATATGCTTAAAAGAAGACATTGACTCAATGATATATTCTTGCTAACTGTTACAAGATACAATAGCTCTGTTCATCCATGGTTATTCAAGGAGGTTATACGGACTCAAATTGTTAAGGAAGGAACTCAGAATAAGCACAGTGCATTTTATTCTAGGAAAAATGTACATTTTACAAGTTAATTTTTTTAGTAATCTAAGAGCTCGCAACATGGTTACTTGTGAATAAAAAGTAGTTAAAGTTAACATCCAAATAGAAATATTAGAAAACAAGTTGAATATTCATTGAAAGAAAAATAACAACACAGTAAATAACATTACAAAGTTTTCCTGATAATGAGACAATCAAATACAATCATCAAAATACTTTCTTCACCAACTGTTGCTTATTTAATGAATCCTTTCTTTAATTACCTGCAAATTTAACGTAGCTAATTTTATCAGTTGCAATAGCTCATATCTGTAGTTAACTATTGATATGTCATGATTTCTTACCATGAAAGAGTGTGATGATTGAACATACAGTCTGAATAAACGTGAGGAAAAGTAGCATAATTGCAGCAGTAGTAGATGCTATTTTCCAAGGAGTGTTGAAGTATTCGTGTATGAAGATAGCCTTGTACTTGTTGCGAGGGTTTTCATAGAATTCATTTAAGCTTTTGCAGATGGAGAAATAGTGAGAATTGAAATGTGGCATGCTAAGGTGTGAGGTGAGATTGTTAATCATTGTAACCACTTTATTAGCATCACCAGTCCAATTGACAATAAGTTTCTTATCAACAAGTATGTTCACATCTTTTTCAGTATTGATAAGAAAATATAGAATCACTACATATTGAGTAATGATGTTAGTAGCAGAAAGGTTTCCATGTTCATATGCCATCATATTCCTGAACAGAAGTTCTGTACTGTCATGTATATTAAAGATTGGCATGCTCAAAACTCCATGTTTAGAATAGGTCAAGTCAAGGAAGCTTTTATTTGGACTGACTTTGAACTCAAGACCTGCCTCCATCAGTTGGCTTGCGCTGTATACATGTTCAATAACTTCGCCTTCTTCCTGTTTTCCAAGACCAAGCTTTGATGATGATATTATAGAACATCTTAGCAAATCTGTGAAGTGTTTTGGAGACTCTCTTGGACACACGTTTCCTAAACTTTTTCTTTCAAAAAAGTTGAAAGTAATGTCAAGAAATTTCTCATTCATACCAGTGAGGTTGTAAAGTTCTTCAAAAACTAAGAATGGAAGTTGATTTTCCAACAGTAGCAAGTCCTTCTGAATTTGTATTAACACCCTTGTTTGTAGGAACAAAGGTTCTTTTTCCACCCAATCCCTGAGTTTATGCCATCTTAGAAAAAGCTCAATTATGAAGCAAGCATCAACTAAAATCATCTTTAAGAACTCATCACTATTATATTGGATAGGCCCTTCATAGCAACTTCGAATGGTTTCTTCCAACTCTTTAATTTTGACAGCAAATACTCTCATAAGTAGTCCTGTTCGATTTAGAAATCCCTTGAGATATTTCAGTTTAAGCTCTTCCGATGCCCCAAAACTATTGTGATGATAAGGGCCAATTGAAACCATTTGAGGTGTGTAAGCTTTGGGATTATTTTGACGAATATTTGCTGGTACCCTATAAATGCATTGCATATTGATTTCATCCATCTCTGGAGGTTTCACATTTTGAAGCATCTGAGTCCATTCTCTCTCTAAACGTTCTATTTCAATTGATACATCTCTCGATCGTCCTCCCATTTGGTTAAAACTCTGTAACATAAAAAATTATGCAAACATTAGGATTTAGGATTTTAAAATAACATTTTTAAAGGTGGAAGTAATTATAAATACTTATTTTTAATAAGCATTCTTATACATGATTGATATAACAGATATTTTTAAAATTGATATAAAACATCTTTTACATTAATAAAAAAAAAAGAGAAAATATCTCACTATTTAGTAAAAATATCATTAAGTACGCACTGCTCAACATACAACACTGGTCAAGCTGTTAAAAACAAGTTGCATTATAATTAGGATTTTTCTATCAGAAAATATGGTTCCAAGATCGATGATAATTCATTTGACACTAAAGCAGAATTATATACTTACAACACCAAAAAATCAACCCACTTAAAAGAAAAAATCTGAATTCAATAAGCATTTGAACCAACAAGTAGGACGCCTAACTCCCCAGGTTCAACACAGACCCTCTCCAGCTATAATAGTTAGTGCAAAGAACAATATATTCGTGGATGCATCGAAATCGAAGAAGATTGGAACTGAAAAAAGGAAAAAGGAGGAGAAAGAACCTGAGATGTTGAGAATATGATTGATCTTCAGCAATTAAAATCACCAGTCCTCAACTCAGCAACAACACCATCATGCATGAACACTGTTCCAAAATCTAGTGGCTAGAAATTGAAGTTCATTAGTGGATTATCTAGTGAATTGTACTGTTATGTATAATATATGGACCCATTGTCCAGCATATTTTATTAGCTTTTCGGGTTAACTCTCTTCTTGTTTTGTTTTATCTTTGCATTAGGGACGCATATATTGTTAGTGTATTAATGTAGATATAAATTAGCATTGTAACACTAGAAGTGTTAAAAAGTTTGTGAAAATGTTAAAAAGTGACGATTTTCCCTAAGTTCATTTTTAGAATTTTTATTTTTATATGTGAGACTCTAATTTAATGTGACAAATATTTCTCTACTTATTAATTTAAATTTCTTTATCTTTTATTTCTTTTAAATTTTCTATTTTGCTAATTTTTTGATTAAAAATTATTAGAACGATCCTATATATGAGGATAGTTTTCTATCAGTAAATATTACTGTAACAAAAATTAGTTTTAGTAATATAAATATTTATTATTACAATCTATAAATATGTCTTAATGTCTTGTTATTAATATCTTGTGATAAAAATCAGTCACAAATAATATATAAATAATGAAAAATTTTATATTTATCACAATTGATTACATTATAAAAAAAACAATTTTAACTTATGAAAGAAAAATCTTATTAAATTCAAATCTAAAACACAAGTTTAATATTTATTATATATATATATATATATATATATATATATATATATATATATATATATATGTATAAGTTCTCTATTAAATATATAATAGTGAATTTATGATACATTTGTTATTGACAAAAATATTTTAGTTTTATAATAATTAATAATTTGTCACCAATAATAAAGAAACATTTATTTATAAATATTTAATAAATTTTATATTAATTACGTTTTCATCATAAGAAAAATAATTTTATTTTATAACAAATCTTTGGTTAAAGAAAAAGGATGTCTACAGAGGTTGGCTTAGATCTCCAAGAATACATACAAGAGAAAGACTTTATATGCATGATGGTCTTAAAATGGAAGAAATAATAACTGCTCATCTTCTTACTTGGGTGATTCTGCTTGAAAGATTGATACAGGATGTTGTGACTACAGAAGACATCTGCCTCTTGCATGCTATCAAAAATGACATTCCCACCAACTGGGTAGAGATTATAAAAGATCATATGGTTGAAGCTGCCCTCAGTAACTCTCATTATTTGCCATATGTTGTACTGATCAACAAATTGCTAATTATGCAGGGTGTGGACATTAGTGGAGAATAAAAGTGCTCCTATGATTCCACAAGCATAATAAACAGAAACACCATTGCAAGTTTTGGCCTGACAAAAACAATGAGAGGCTAGTGCTTTAAAGGAGAAGAAGAGTTAGTGTATAGTTTTGAAAGCACTTGTGCCATGAATGATGACAGAAGAAATTTTGTTCCTGAAACCAACTTTGAAAGATATGTGGTTGATCAATTTAGATATCTAAATAAAAGGATTGATCAATGGGAAAGGAAATATGATGTAGTTCAACAACAAAGAGAAGACAACACTTTTGATGAGGATACTATGAAAACATCTGACTCAGAATAAGGTTACAAGGAATGTCTGTCTTGTTGTTTGGTTGTTTTTTTTTGTTGGATCTAAGTTTTCTTGTTTAATGTTTTGTTTGTTTTTAGTACTTGTTTTGTAAATGGCTTTGTATGCCATTTCGTTTTGATATCATCTGTTTGTAATCATATTTCACATCAATGAAATCAGTTTATATCTGATTAAAATCGATTGTGTAGTGTATGAAGTTGATTAATTTACTGTTTATCATTGCACTCATACATTTACACACACAAATTATATCTGTAATATTTCTTGCATTACAATAATTATAAAATGCTTGATCTGGAAATATCTTGAAAGGTTTTGCAAGAACATTGCTTCTGGAATAACTACTGGAGATAAAACTCAAATGGAAAGCAATGAAATCGATTACAACAATGGATCAATCGATTACCATTTTAACAGGGGTTATAAATTCCATGAATTGGAATTTGGTTACTTTACTTATTGATCATATACTGTTGTTTGTTTCATTTTCAATATATCTCTTATCTTATATTTGATTGAAATTACTTGAGATAATATTGAGATTGTTGATTGATATTGTATCTAAGATACATTGATGTAGTTGCACAATTTCTGATATGATACAATACTGTCACATGTTTATACTTGCTATGAAATGTTTTATGAAAACTGCATTGTGCATTTAGATTTTGATTATAAAACATGCATAATGGCAGGGGGAGCATTGCATACGAATCTTAGATAATTTCACATGCATATGGCAGGGGGAGCATTGCATACGAATCTTAGATAATTTCACATGCCTACACTTTAGGGGGAGATTATATCTTTATCATGTGATTATTTATGACAGAGGGAGCATCATTGTTTGATTAATATGATTTATTGATGCATCTCTGAATAAATGTCTGTCAGCATATCATTATCATATGGCATACCTTTTTTGCTAATGCACAGAGGGGGAGAATGTTGGGAAAAAGAGTTTTCTGTGTTAAATTTTCTGATAATGTTGGGAGAATAATCTGATAGTGTCTCTGATATTCATATTATGATCTGATATTCTATTTGTGCTCTAATATGAATCACTTGTGCTCTGTTATGAATTGATAATTTTTTTAAGCTGAATCAAATGAGAATATCTCAAAATGTTTGCAATGTTTTGCTCTGATACATGATCTGATATATTTGCTAATCATTTGCACTGATACATTTTGGCATGATATGATTGGATTTTTACAACGTGGTTGTTTATTAATCATGGTTGTGCATCATAAAAAAAGAGGGAGATTGTTGATAGGAAGAACACTGGTTTAGCTGAACCTACAATCTCAGAGCTTTTGGTTTTTGATGATGACAACATAATTAATAACACGTGATGTTTATGTGTTATATGTTCTATTGCTTACATGCTACATGTTTTAATCAATGTATAAATCTGTTTAAAGCATGGAGAACATGATTGTGTTGATAAATTACATTCATTGTGCTATATAATTGATTTTATTGGTGAATGCATGTCTAATGTTTTATAGAAAGAAAACCACAAGCACTTATGCTGAACTTATTATTGTGTGGCAAAACAATAGTTTTAAGTTGACTTCATTATGGAGTGAGTCGATTAAAACTCGTGGCTTTGCATAAACTTGTTCAAAGTGTGCTGTGAGGATTTTCAAAGAAGAAGTTTTTCAAAACTCTGTTTAATTGTGTTACATAGCCGATTATATGCAACTTGCATTCGACTAAGTCTATTACAGTTTTGAAATTCTGTTAATGCTTGTGTTAAATGTTACAACGACTATATTTTTATATATGTTGACCAAGCATTTATTATGGTTTGATTGCATTAATTGCGCATTCAATTAAATGCATTAATTGCTGCTAACTGCTTTGACTGAATTGTTACATTCGACTGCATTAGTAGCTAAGTCGATTAAAATGCGTCTGAATTGTGAAAATCTATAAATTGACGCGAACTTGATCTTTGTAAGAACTTTTGTGATTCTAACAGTTTTGTGATATTTTGCAGAGAGTGCATTCTTAAAGAGAAAGGGAAAAAGCTCCAAGAAACAAGAAGTGACCGTGGTGTTCATATCTGCACATTTGGGTGTTACTGAAAGATCAGAGGATACAATCTTGTAAAGATTGGTTTGTGGTTTCCCTGTTGTGATTACAAGAAGAAGAGCGTGCTGCGTTCTTGACTTTGAGGGTGGCTTAAAGGGTTGGACTGCAGGAGAGGGGATTCTTGCTGCTAGTCTGTTTTGTATATGCCTATATTTTGATTCGAGGGTTAGAGAGGTGTTTTATATTTTTGACATGAGGTCGCTATAAAAACCTTGTTGTAAAAACCTTGATCATTATAGTGCATTGGCTTCGTGTGGTTGGAAGGACACTGGATGTAGGCTTGGCCGAACTAGTATAAAAACCCAGTGTTTGATCTTTCTATCTCTGCACTTTGTATTTAGTCGACTGCATACTGCATTAAATCGATTATATTTCCACTGCATAAACAAATCTTTTTCCTTGCGTTTCAAGAAAGCTTTTAAAGGCATCAACTTTGCGAAAAAGATTTAAAGAAAACTTTGTTTTTATATTTCACCAATTCACCCCCTCTTGGTGTGAGAAATTAAGCCATTCTATTTTCAAAAAAATTGACATAAACAGAGTTAACTTCCAATTGGCATGGCAAAGAAATCTACACTTTTTCTTCTCTCTCCTCTGCTTTTCCTGTAATGTCCCTGCTTTTTCTCTCTTTTCTATATCTTTATTAAATATTTTTTTTCTCTCTCTTCCTCTAAAGCTTA